TTTTTTTAATAAGGAGTTATAAGCTTTTAAAATCATGTGATAATCATTGACCGTTATAGATGTCCTGCACTATAATACTAAATTTATTCGGATAATTAAAAAAGTTAATATTAAACGTAAAAAATTTTTTACATATGAAAATTTTCACTCATCTCTACATCCTCAAGAGTAAACACTTTTTTTTCGATATTCTTGAAAAAATACATAAATATGTTCTTTGACATTAATTTCATAACGCAAAATAAAAAAATCATTTTAAAGTACAAAAGTATAGTACCATTTTTTATACAAAGTCGTCAATTAGCAAAATTTGACATTTTTTTCAAAAATAGGACTTCACGTGATTTTAGTTTTACTTTCTGCCAAATTTAGATACGATAGTCGAAAGCTAGTCTAAATTTAGAAATGATCATAGTGGAAAATTCCTCGTGAGCATAGTAAAGTACATGTTTTAAAAATAATAGAACTCTACAACAAATATTTTTTTTGAGAATATCTCGTTATTACATTAAAACTAAAAACCTATTCTATCAACTAATAATGCTATTTTTTTAAAAGATAAGACAGAAAGTGACTTCTATACTTTTAAAATTTGCCCAAAATTTAGGAGGTCTTTAGACCGAGCCAACTATATAATGAGAGAGTTTTTGGCAAAGTTATGGATATATAACATTTCATTTCATAGCGAGATCTACGGTGCTTAACAAACAATAAAATACAATATGTTTCTTTGGGAGGCATTTATTTTACCGACCGACAGTTCATTTTACCAACAAACTCAAAGGTTACATTTAACCTCCACACAACTAATAAAATGCTAAATGGCGCGCCATGTGTTGTCGGTAAAATGATTTTCAGTAAAGTAATACGTACCCTAAAATCTTTGATGAAAGAATTTCATATAACGCTCCCGGGTAATTTCAGCATCCTTAAATCTTTATATCTTCTTTTCGTGTAACTTACCGATTTTCTGGTTTAGAAAGATCGGTAAATTCATTGTGGATAGTATCTTTAATACGCTGTACGATATTGCTTTGTGCTTGACGTGAAATTCGCTGAGCCTGTTAAAATGGAATAAGCGAAATAAGTAAATAATTTAATAATTCAATTATACCTTTTACTTACCAATGAACGAATATGTTTATTAAAAAATCGTTTCCAACCACCATTTTATTTTGAAATTCTTCCCTATAATGTAATAAAAATATTTATCGTATTATTTTAAGAAAATAAATAAATAATGCTCAATTCTTACATTTATCCACTTTGTATTACTTTCTACTTGACCGTTACCAAAGCCAGCTGCTTTCCGATCTACATATATTTCGTTAACCTTTCTTTGTATATCTTGAATGATCATGGTCATTTGATTCTGTACATTTTGCATATCACTAGTCGTTGAATTATAATATCCTAAAAGAAATTAAAAGAAATTATTATAAAGAAAACAATAAATTATTAGTTACTTACGAATTTTCTTTTGTACGCTTCTATCTTCTTTTTCCATATCATCAATTATTCATTTATGATTTCTATTATAGTGACTGGTTATCTCATCTCCTGAATTAAATTCTTCTTTAGCACTTGAAATGTCTTTCTCTTTATTAAGAATATCTGTATATTCTGATCTGGTTTATCTGGGTAGGACTGTTTGGAGTACTTAGAAGTTTTTCTGGTTCACTTTGAATAATAATCTGTACAATTTTATGTAATTTTTGTTTCTTACTATGTCCCATATTTGCAGAAGAGTTTTGTAATTTTGAAAAAAGAGAGTGGAAAAAACAAACTACTAATGATTATAATCATATTTATAGAGTATAAGAAAAAGTTTAAAAAAGTCTACGGCAAGAATTGAAAAAAAGATCAAAATTCGTTGCAACTTCTATTAATTAATTAATTTTTTTAATACTAGAACGAAAACAATTTAATTTAATATGATCAGTGTACTCATGTGTGGACATAATTATCACAATTATTGTCTACAAAGGTGCCAATCTAAATGTTTAATATGCTTGGACTATCTTCAAGTCGAAATCAAAAAAAAATGTCAACGCACTAAAAGAAAGTACGATGAAAAGATTAAACGAAAATGAGTTTATTGAAAACATCGAAAATATCGTAATAATGAAAATACAGTTGATGATGATCTGGGTAACGTTGCATCAACAATAGATGGTGCGAGCATGCAAAAAAAACAAATTTTTGGTAAATTTTATTTTTATTAAATAAATTTGTTTGATTTTTTCATACATCATTCATGTTTTGTCTTAATCGTATATCTTAAATAATGGTTGTGTTTACAATCATTTCTTCGACAGTCATTATATTAAGATTATTTTGATTATATTGAGAGATATGGTCAAGAGAAGAGTTAAGAAGAGAGTTATTTTTCAACCAAGTCGAAAACCAAACCTTTAAATACATTTTCGAGTAGTACAATTTAATTTATTAGACTATTTCAAAGGTTTGTCACATGGTTGCTTCCAACTTTTTAAATTCGAACCATTTGTTAACGAAACAATTGTTGATGAAGTGATTGTCGACAAAATGAAATCAAACCAATGGTATCAAATTCACGATTTTGATTGGTCAAACACAATTGCATGGGTCAAAATATTGATCTCGCGCTCATCTCCAGATGATGTTCGATATCAATATTTTTATAAATGTGCTATTCTTAGCATGTAGAGCATTATACTTTAATTCCTATTGCTTCAGTGACAAATACAGTGCGTATTATACCAAAATTTAGTAAACCGGGAATTTACTTTGTAAATAACACTACTAAATAATTTCTTAATAATTAAATGCTTTTTAATAGTAAATTTAAATGCTTAATTAATACATATCTTTAACGATAATTAATAAATATTAAATTAAAAATATTTTGAAAAAAAATATTTAAATTTAATGTTTAAAATATATTATTAAAGTTAAATACAAATAAGTACTTGTAAATATTAAATACTTATTAATATAATATTTAAGTATTTATCAAATGATGTCTTTATAATATGGGGTGAATGTTGGATCAACTTCGTGATGACTATTATTATATACATACAACTCCCCTAATTAGAAAATTTTTGATTGTTGTGTAACAATATTCATTGTAACAATAATTAGTATAATGTTAATAATCTGTATTAATAAAATTCATTTTAATGAATGAATGAATAAACCAACAGTTCTAGTTGTATATCACTCAAGGATCCTTATGTCTGCTCATTAACCCTTCGATTTCTTTAAATATATTACAAGTTAGTAGTAGTAGTAGTAGTAGTAGTAGTAATAATAATAATAATAATAATAATAATAATAATAATAATAATAATAATA